TTGATTTCCTTTGGGAAGTTTCACCTTACTTGTGCTTAGTTGCTTCACAGCATTTGGATAATGCTGCTAGTTACCTCTCATACCTCATCGAAAGTTCTTGTGGCTTTTTAAATACAACTGATTACACTGTATTTTAATGCTGTATTTTCTTAGAATTGTACCCTTTGATCTTTCTAATTGAAATATGAGCTCATGAAAAGGTTACAAACATGAAAGTCATCTAATATGGACATTTGCATGTGTGTACAGACAACTGGAGGACACATGTGATCAGAGGCCATTTTGATCACAGTCCTCTCTCTTCACTCTAATGGTGATTGCTGCTCTGTCCGTTGGACTCTTGTTTCCTGACATCTAGAAAATAAAAGTTTTGCCTGGTAACTTATCTATACAAGTGGGCTCATGTTGGATGCAGTCTTGTTTCTTTGGCTCTTAAATTTTACATGTAGCGCTGTTGAATGTGGTTTTGTCACTGTTGCAGAGTGAATCACTGAATGGCAGCCTATTCATTTGCTATTGGGTCTTAGCATTAGTTTTGGCTGTTTGGAAATGCTGTTTTGCATGTTATAGAGTAGAGGATATTGATCTTTGGGGAGCATATGTGTTTCTCTTGGTGCACCCTGAATAGAAAGTTAAACCTTATATTTTAAAAGGTATTTATTTATTGCTAACTTCCTGCTGGGGGTACCAGTTCTCATGCTGCTACTGTTGGGTGATAAGTCTCATATTTGGGTTATATGCATTTTCTATTTTTGTGAATTCTGAGTATTCTGTCCTTTAGTGGGGTTTTTTTTTTTTTTTTTTTTTTTTTGGTTATTGGTTTGTAAGGTTCATCTTACTTTTGTTTGGTTATTGGTTAGGGTTCATCATTCTGGTGTTTGTACTTAGGTCATGTGTACTCTGTTTTGTGGCAGCCCTGGCTGACCTGAAACTGGCTCTTAGACCCAGGCTGGCTTTGAACTCACATAGATTCTCTCCCCTCTGCATCCTGAGTGCTGGGACGAGAGGCGTGCGTTTATCACGCCTTGCTAAAATCTTAATTTTTCCCAAGTTTAATATGTCTAGGTCAAAGTCTATCTTAAACAATATTGTGTCATTAATGGGATATTTCTGCTTAATTTGTATAGGTTCTGTTTTCCAATTTGGCAGCAGCACTACAAATTTCAACTTCACAAACAATAATCCATCAGGAGTGTTCACATTTGGTGCAAATCCCAGCACGCCTGCAGCCTCAGCCCAGCCCTCAGGTTCAGGGGGCTTCCCATTCAGCCAGTCTCCAGCGTCATTTACATTGGGGTAAGAGATGATTTTATTTCATTGAGAATTTACACTGGTAAAGACGTGTCTGTTTCTAAAAGTAAATCAGGCAGTAATATAGTTAGGGTAATAGTAAATATTACCCAGTATCGGTTTATGATATTGTAATTTTGGGGATTAAATTATAATCTGAAACAGGAGCAGCAAGTTATAGGCCAGGTATAGCAGAAGGTGTTTGCTTGTAACAACAGCATTTTCCTCACTTCTTCCCATTTTGTTGCTGGTTGTGTTAAGTGGTTATGAGTTCTCTGTCCTGAGTGTTACGTAACATCGTAATGTTTTATTTTCACAGGTCAAATGGGAAAAATATGTTCTCTTCTTCCGGAACTTCAGTTTCTGGTCGCAAGATAAAGACTGCTGTTAGACGCAGGAAATAAAGGTCACAAAGGTGTTATACCCAACCGTTTATCAGCAGCGAGTGCCTGCTTTCAGATACTGGATTGTACTACATGCTGGGCTTATTGGAGTCAGATCTGTCCAAGGACTTCTTTAATTTTGGAATTGCCCTCATTTTTCTTTACGGAAGTCCCATTCCCGTATCTCATTCTCTTTTGAAAATAATAGCTAGACTGATGATGACTGACTGATTCTTCAGCAAAAACATTTTATGACCCAGCACATTATTCACTGATTGGCATAGTCTGGCTGTACCCAGGAATAGAGCCTGCACGGTGAATGGCTTTGTATAGATCCTGTCTGCACCGCTATGTGCGTTGATAAAGCGTTAGTGGAACGCATTGAAATTGTAATTATATCTGGGGAATTCTGTATAGATTAGAATCCTGTATAGATTAGAGGACTTTGAGATGAATGATTTCTATGCGGAGTTTGTGGTGGTATATGTGTGAAGTGAGTTGGATGTATTGTGCACAGAAAAATTCTGATAGAGAAAGCCTGATTAAAGAATGGTCCATGCTAAGGACTTGTTAGATCTAGTTCATTCTCCATTTAATAAGTATATGCTATTTCTATATTTTCATTCTATCGACTGTCTTGCCTTTTTCATTATTTTATTATGAAACTTCTGTAAATACAATATTGTTTCTGTACTTTTTGGCATAACATAAATCTGTGAACTTGAAATTTTAATTTTGTGTTAGACATATTTTTGTTGTTTGTTTAGTCTTGTCTCAGATTTTATTATGTAAATCCCATTATTCAAAGTTGCCTAAATCCATTTGGAAATCTTTAAAAAAAAAATTGGGGATTCTTAAAGTTGAATTTATTGGCTTTTCTGATCCAGTTTTGTTTGGACCAAAAACCAGTATTGTACAAAGTATTAAGCATATATTTTTATATTTACTGAAATGGACTGTGGTGACTTTGGATAATAAGGAAAAGTTTAATATTAAAGCCATGTTTATTACAGTATAATTAACATGTTAAACCATGGGATAAATGCCATCAATAAAACTTTAATGAAGCACGTTTCGCTAACAGTTCTCATAGTGGAGGCACATAATATTAGTGGGAAGGGTGGTTGATTAGAAATCCCAAAGAGTATAATCAGGCAAGGCCCAAGAGTTACCAGAGTTTGCAGTCTACAGAAGAGCCCCTGCATTCTGCCTGCTGCTATCTTTAATTTGTATGTATAGCACGCCTTAAAAGTTGAAGGTAAGCATACAACCCTTTCTGTTTGTATTGCTAGCTTCCCTGCTAGATACCTAAACAATGTTCATTGCTTATACTCTTGGAGATATGTCTCAGGCATTCTGAAAGCTTGTAACATTGTAATGGGCCTTTTACTGTATTACTTGAATGACTAGACTTTTTGCTCACTTAAGGTCCAGGAAAGAACTCTTGGGCCAGCACATCTTACTTTTGTCTTTAGTGTAATTAGGATTGGCATTTATTGTTTAGTTTGTGCTTAATTTGCCCCACTTCAGGTTAGTTGAGTTTAATTTACATTGAGAATTTCTAATGCTTTGTCCTCATGAAAAGTGTTTTTCTAACTAAAATAGCTTAGGCCATCATCACATACTGATATGAGGGTAGAGTTTTGTTTTTCTAATATTCTCCTTAATATTTATCTGATTATTTAAGCTTGATTGGAGTCTGGTGAATGCTGGAAGAGGTAACTGGGAACCTGTCTGACCTCCCAGTGATCTTGGAGTCCGGTTCTTAGGCATTATCTAGGTCCAAACAGTGGTTTAATAGGGCATATCCCTTTTCTCTAAAATGTGTAGGAAATTTCTCTAAAATGTGTAGATACTTTTAGTATCTCCCCTCTTACACATACTTTAAAAAGCAGTTTACTAAATTCCTACTAACTCTGGTTTATATGAAAATTGGGGATCTTTTGGTTCTCCAGAGTCTGCAAGACTGTTAACATCTTGAGACTTTTGATTCTTGGGCTGCATGTAGCTTTCCAGTCTTGGTGGCAGCTCCACCTCTGGAGCTGTACTCCTCTGGCCCAGCAATGATAAACTCTTCATTGTACTGGCTGGGATTGAGAGTGCTTATTATTAGTGGGACGTGTAAATGTACGTTTTAGGGGATATTCCCAGAGACTGACAGACTGGCTTTGGATAACAATCCTTTTCTAACTCTGTCAGGTCTGTGGATATCAATTTAAGCATTTAAGTGCTAGGTTGCGTGTAGTGATTATAATTTCAGGCCTTAAGGAAAAAAGTATAATTCAAACAACTGAAATTCCTTTTTTTAATTAATAATGAAAAATTTATTAATATAACTAGCATTTTATTAAAGTGATTTTTTTTTTTTACAAAGTAAAGATTTAACTTGGGAACAACTTGTTTTTATTGTTAGCATATCCTTCTTGGGGCTTGTATGAAGCTTAAAATTCAATGGAAATTATTGAGGGGGTAAATGAACAGATACTACACTTGATATACTCCAAAGACCAAGAATGATTCAACAGAGTTCTAGAAAGGGTAGCATCTTTAATGAAAACTGTTTGCTATAACATTGAAAAATGAGGATGGTGAAGACCTTATAGATAGCAACTATATTTGTAGTATAGAACTGTGTCATTCCCCCTCCCCTCCAAAATCCACTGTAGCCCCCAAATGCAGTTTGTAGATTGGCTTAGAACAGTAAATTGTCTGGAGCAATACTTCCACCAGGCTGCATTAAACAGTTTGCACACATGCCTTTTAATTTTTTTTTTTTTTTTTTTTCAAGACAGGGTTTCTCTGTAGCTTCTGAGTCTGTCCTGGAACTAGCTCTTGTAGACCAGGTTGGCCTCGAACAACAGAGATCCATCTGCCTCCCAAGTGCTAGGATTAAAGGCTTGCACCACCAATGCACAGCCATGCCCTTTAATTTCTAAAGATAGGGTCTTATACTGTAGCCCAGGGTGGCCTTAAATTTGCATCAGTGTTCTTGTGTCAACCTCGAGTTGTGGGTTTACAGGTAACATGTCCAAATTCAAGTAAATGTCTTTTTTGAGGAAGGCAGCCCATAAGGACTGGTTTGTAAAAGCTTTTCCCATTAAGATGGAGTTTAAATTTAGTCATCTGATTGTTATAATGGCTCCAAGTACCTACCAGTAAGTTTAACCTGAAGCAGCATTCATTTGCAGGTAACTTTTAGACATAATTTTTTCATAGGTATTTAGTGTAGGGTCTTGCATATTCAAGGCAAGTGTTAGCTCCCTGAAGCACCGCTCCAGCCCTATTAATTTAGGAAAACTTGTCAAAGAAATAGACAAACACAGATAACACTGTTGACATATTTATTGAGACAAAAATACAAATTGGTGACATACAAACATTAAAAATAGAATGGTGGCTTTTTTTAATAGGTGGGTCATTAGATACTGTTTGCAAGGGAAGCCTTTCTAAAGTGAACTACAAGGAAATCTGCACATACCAGCTGAAATGAGGAACTTCACCCAGGCATGAGTAAGGGCTTTGGCCTTTGGTTATGTGAATAAAGAAGCTGAAACAGTACTTGTTGGAGTTTATGAATACTGTTAATTTAGGCATTGTCCCCAAACAATGAGAAACTTTAATTGTCCCACCTTCTAAATAGCAAGTGTAAAATTTCAACTCCTTCTCTTTGCCAGAAACAGTTGTGTAAGTGAAACACTCAAATCACTGATGTGAACAAGTTCTTTTAAAGTTAAAACTTTTAGGATCTCCTTCTTGGAGAAGTAGGGGAGAATTAAGCCAGTGCTAGAATGCTTTAGAATACTGTCTACTGGCATGTGTTTATGGTCAGTTATCACAGTTTTCCTACCTAGAAGGTGGAACAAGATCTAGCCAGTGATGGCTGAGACTTTCTCACTGCCTAAAATAAAATCTCTTCCCAGTTGTCTGGATTGAATGGTAATGCATCAACAAGACTCCAATCCTAAGGTTTCAGCTCAGGGTTTCATGCTCATTAAAAGAACATCTTCATTTCTGCCCTTTTACAGCTTCAGCATGAGACATAGGAAATCAGTATTTCTGTAATTGAATACACTCATGTTCTGCGAAGGAAGCTCCACTTTACAACCCTATGAAGAAGAAACATGCCAGGTTCCCTTTTTTCCTTTTTATTTCAACTCTTGAGATTTCTTCCCCAAAGGGAACTTAGTTTGAGGTTTTATTGTAGAGGCAAATCTTACCACCTATATGGCACAGCTTGAATCCACAGCTGGATCTAAGTAACTTGCCCAAAGCAAATTGCAGTATTTAAACTAAAAAATTGTCTATTTTACTGCACAAATAAAAATACCCTGTGGAAACTACAATAATCAAATACTCTAGAGCTGGGTGGATGAAGCACATTTCAACTTGAATTTCCTTATCAGTGGCAAAAGTAGTGTCCGTACCAATTTCCTGATCTGTAGTGTAAGAGTTTGAAGAGCCATCAGGTCTTGCCAGAGCCACAAGCAAGTCCTATGTGCTGCTCTTAACAAGTAATAGGTTTTTTTTGGATTTATTGTAAAATTATTTTTAGAAATCATGGTTTATGAACTTTTACAATAAGCTATTAGATTCTTAAAGTGTCTGTAGACAGTAAATGCATTTTCAGTTTTAAATGTCAAAGAAAAGCCCACTGAAACATAACACATGGCTTATTCTTGCTATTTAAAACCAAGGAACAAAGATTGAGCTCTTATACAATACAATTTAGTGTTTCTTGAGAAAATCACATAGAAGAACGAGTAAGAATAAAGTTTAAAATGTACAGCGAGCTAACTGGGACACAATAAAAGCACACAGACATAAACCCGATAATGTTGCACCAACAGAGCAAAGTACAATGACTATACGCAAAAGTTTGCTTTAATGTTTTCCCCCAAATTTCATCTCTAGCAGGCTCAAAATGAGCTCAAAGACGCTAGAATAATGTCCGGAGATGATATTCTGCCTTGCATTAGAGAGAACAATTTATCATGGGAAAACTAATATTTCACAGGCTGCTAGTATTTAAGTTATTACAAAACACTGGAACTCTTTTAATACCTTGATGTTTTGACAGTCATGGAACTGTACAGAATATAGTTAGGAATTTGCTTGTACAGAAATAGAATCTACAGGTACATTTAGAACACTGGAGCGCAAACACTGGGAATGTTTGAATGTTTCCCCCCCTATTTATAGTTGGATGTTAGGGCACATGAATTCTAAGCTGAATTTACATTGAAAAATCACATCCCCATCCCCGCTCTACCCTCACAGAAGGCAATCACTAACTTACCTTTTTTTAAAATATAAATGATATGACAATATATTTTCATCATCACAAAAGTTCTTGCCTCCAAATACATAAGCAGTAAGAAGCTGTAAAATCCCACCACTACTGCAGTGAATTCTAGAACAACATGGAAGTATGACGTGAGGGACTGGTAGGCCTTCCTCACTAGCCCTTTTCTCCAATACCTACCATGGAGCCAGTGGGATGTTGAGTTGATGGTCTTTCTCAATGCCCACAGAAAACAACTTCCCTAAGAAGAGTTGTGGGAGTTATGTAGGTGTTTATAAAACACAACTGGACATTTTCACTCCAGGATAAGCCAAAAGAAAATGGAGAATTTAAAGCTGAAAATCCTTCCAGCAAATTTTGGTTATCTTAAATGCTAAAGTATGTATTTGTTTATATTGATTAAAACCATTTGCTTTGTTATCCTACAAATATTTAACACTTGAATTTAATAGGTTTTCCTTCTGGAAAGTTCCTGGATAAGTAGAGTCAACACTTTCAGAACAGTCTCCTGCATCACAATGTAGTGACTGCTCTAATTTTTAAAATCATCAATTAATGTAACCTAGAGATACTGATGGCCTTAATACATAATTTAGACTTGTCATTATTATTCCAAAGAGTGGAATTCTGGGCTCTGGGGCATCATCTGACTCCATTTCTTTTTACCACTATGGTTCCTGCTACAATGTCATAGGCTGTTCGATTATGCTGAAAAAACAGTAGTGTGATGAAAGCAGGGAAAAAAGAAGCAATAGAAAAATTCTTGATCAAAGCTCGTATGGTGGACCTAGAGGAAGCAAGCAGAAGCAGCACGTCAGGTCGTAGGAGTCATTCCTGACTAGGTTTCTTGTTGCTGTCTCTACATTCAGAACACAGTTCAAACCTTTCACACAATACAGTGAAACTACTTACTCTGCTCCTAAAGAAAGTTTCCTAGAAGACTACAACTTTGACGTGCATGGCTTTAAATAACTCGGGACACCAACAAGGAGACAGCACACCTACTTTCTATTTTGTTAGAAGACGAACATCCCTTTTCCATAGTCACATATTCCCATGGGTTTCTAGAATCTTCTGAACTGGGTGTGCTACTGCAGTCCTACTTTCTATTTTATCTGAAACACAATCTATTCTTTTATCCATTTTCCTGTATGGGCTCCAGTAATTATAAGTCTTAAAAGCTTTCAGTAATAGCTCAAAATGGAGAATTATCCTAACAATGTTAGTTTTGCCTGTCAGTGGCTGTGTGGACTCTGAATCCAAACTGGTTGGTTTCACATTCTTTCTCTAATTACTAATGCTCCACAGCTGTGAAAATGAGATCAAAATGCTGTGTTAAATTAATAAAATGCCTGGTATCTGAGAAGTGTTCAGTAAACAGTAACCATTATTGACTCATTAGAAGAAGTAGCCAGAGCTGGGCAATGGTGGTGCAACACCTGTAATCCCACTACTCAGGAGGCAGAGACAGGCAGATCTTTGTGAGTTTGAGGCCAGCCTGGTCTACAGAGCAAGTTCCAAGACAGCCAGCGCTACACAAACTCTTGGGGGGGGGGGGGAGCTGAATTAAAACACAAAGCTCTAAGGCAATGTGCATATGCTAGCAAAATCTAGCCTAATTCTGGAGCTTGTTGTTTTAGTTCCCCTGAATCAGCCAAATTGTTTGATTCAAGTGATCACAGCTCACTCGCCTCCCCAGCTTCCATTGCCACTGCACCCTCACTACAGGCATTATGGGTGCTACATGTAAGAGCTGGAGCCAGGAGAGGGTTGTGGTGGGTAGTTCACAGAGCAAGAGAAGAAAGCTAGGCACAGGGCACTGAAAACACCCAAGTATCTTCTCATTGCGACACATTTCATAGAATCATTTTGAACATTTATGCCAAAGGCAATGAGACACACACAAACTTCCATGTAAGTCCATATGATTACAGTGTATACGATGAAGAAAAAGACCAGTATTTTAAAATACTGTATAGAACCTGTAACTAGTGAATACTGAACACAATCCTGTGCCACTTAACGAACTCATTCTGAGGAATGTATGAATGATCCTGAGAATGCAATAATCAGTGCATTTCCAGAAGCTCAAGATACCTTGAAATTAGTATATAGTAGAATCTTAATCACTTCTGAATATGCCATGTACAATTGACATCATTATACAGTAGAAGATGACTTAACTGTACTCTTTTTGCAAGTAGATTAAGATAAAGAACTTACGTTGTGATGCTAACATTTGAGGAAGGAATCACTAAAACCCGACTTGGAGCAATGAGTACTGATGTATCACAGGTCACAACTCGAAGCCCTAGCAGGAACTTTCCTGGAGTAGCTCCCCCTGCTCCCCATATGCAAATTATCTAAGGAAAGAAGGACAATTTAAAGAAAATTAACTAAATCAATTTTAAAGATTAAAATTTTTTCTATTAAAATCACCTCATTCTTTATAAAAATGTCATGTCAGAGGGCCAGGTATGGTGGCACATATCTTTAGTCTCAGCACTTGGAAGTAGAGGTAGGTAGGATCGGAAACTTGTATTCAAAGTCAGCCTGGTAAGCACAGTGAGTTCAAGTCAGAGAGGGCTACAGGGTGAGACCCTGTCTCAAAAATAAAGTTACACTGGATGTGCCAATTAGAATCCTAGAAGCCCACTAACCAACCAGAGGATGGGGAGAGATGACTGGCAAGTTTGGGATTAAGCCAGGCTACATAATGAGGCCCTGTCTTGACATACAAAACACTAAATAAAGGTTTGGCCTGATGGCACAAGGCCTGTCATCCCAATTACTGGGTAGGCTGTGATTCAAGAAGTCCCAACTGCATTCAAGATTTGCCCTTGAACTCTGAGACGTTTCTAAAAAAGAAAAAGAGGCTTGGCTTACCTAGCATGTGGGGCTCTGGGTTTGATCTCCAATACCTACCCCTCTCCAATTAGTCACTAATGCATTTTTTATAGTTTTTAAAAAATGTTCAATATCAAAATTATCTACTGTATTTTTTGGCTCATAGTTTATGAAGCTGTTTCACAAGTAAAAATATATTTCTATAACCAGTCTGTAAGTATATTTTTGGACCTAACCTATTTTATGAATGTAATTCTATTTCCAAAACTGAAAAACACAACAAAGCAGTTATTAAAGGTCTCCTTTCTAAAATTTAAGTTTTTACTTGAAAAATGTTAATTTAAAAAATTGTGAAAAAATACAAGTGTGTACAGATGCTTCAGAAATTCTCATTCTTTTTCTTGGTAGAAACCTAAAAATTACACTATTAAAGCAGTATTTGCTTCAGTTGGCAGCTTACCTCATAGAAACAAACTAACAACCTGTATATAAGTGCCACAATCATCATTTTCTGCAAGTCTTCCATCGATGTGTCTTCATCGATTTCTTCTATTATATAGTGCATGGCAAACTTAGAGATGTCCCTGCACAAAGGAGAGTTTGGGGATAGATGAACTAGTTAGAGTTACCAGGTCAGTTGTGTCATTTTCCCCTGATCAGTCTAAGTCATAAGTTTTAGATGAAATTCTAAGCTGTTAGGTTCATGCCATCTAATTGTACAAAATACCTATGAGTTTATTTAACAAATAGCAATAAGTATATAAAAGCAAAAGGTGTGGTTGTTTGTACGTCAGCGGAAGAACACTAGAACAAATAAGATGCCAGACCTGAGGACATGATGGTCAATGGTTTTGTCAACTTGAAATAAGATAGAGTCACCTGGGAAGAGGAAATCAATTGAGAAATGCCTCTATCAGACTGGCTTTTAGGCAAGTCTGTGAGGTATTTTCTTGATTAATGATTGATGTGGGAAGGGCCTAGCACACTGTGGGTGGTACCACCCCTAGGCAGGTGGTCCTGGGTGCTCTAAGAAAGTAGGCTGAACAAAGCAGTAGACAGCATTCCTCCATGGCTTCTTCTTTAGTTCCAGCCTTGATTTCCTGCCCTGACTTCCCTCAGTGGGACTAAAAGCTATAAGATAATATAAACCCTTTTGATCATGGTGTTTATCACTGCAACAGAAGGCAGACTAGGACAGCAAGGGAATGCTGAACGTCTCAGTTTCCACTGAGATTCTAACTAGCAAGGAAAATTATAGAATAAAGAATAATAAACTAGGATGCCAACTGTGTCAGGAAACGAGCACCACAGAAGACGGTTGTGCAGACTTCTCAGAAATGACATTTCCTACAACATAAAGAATGGAGAGCAGTCAGCCAGACCAAGAGGATGGAAGACACTTTAGAGAAAGACTGGCAGGAGAGAAAGCCTTGGAGCAAGTGATAGGGCCCCAATTTCTCTCTGTGTGGAGATTGTGTTAAGACTGGGCACCTGGGGGGCTGGAGAGATGGCTCAGCGGTTAAAAGCATTGCGTGCTCTTCCAATGGACCCGAGTTCGATTCCCAGCAACCACATGGTGGCTCACAACCATCTGTAATGAGGTCTGGTGTCCTCTTCTAGCCTGCAGGCATATATGTAAACAGAATATTGTATCCATAATAAATATTTAAGAAAAAAGACTGGGCACCTGTTAAACTATGTGATGAAATCAGTCAAAAGAAACTAGAGCAGAGTGGAGAGGTGAAGTTCTCCAAATTGTCTGCTGACTTCCAAATAAAAATGTAAAATAAAGGCTGTGTTGGGGGTGAGATGGGATAGGAAGGAATCACAGTAACACCTGACAAGGACTCTATAAGGTTTAACAACTGTAACTGTTAAATCTTTTCTCCCAGTTCTGGCCTTAACTTGTCATAAACACAGTGTCTACCTCATGGTGGTACTAAGGTTAACAAAAAAGAGTCAAGTTCAATATCTTGCACATAAGAAAAGGCTTAGTAAATGATAAGAGCTATTATCCTAAGAATTTGCAATTCTCAAGAAAACACCAAACTTGGCAGTAGAGTGAAATTTGCTCAACTGTAATCAACCCCATTGAAATGCTACTAATTGATCACTGAGAGTTCCCCTACCATAGGCTCTTCGTGCTCTGGAGAAGTGTGTGTGTGTGTGTGTGTGTGTGTGTGTGTGTACACAAATGTATGGCATGTGTGTGCAGAAGAAGGGGTTGGATTTTTGGAGCTGGAGTTACAGGTAGTTATGAGCTGCCTGACATGGGAACTGAACTTGGAACCTCTGGACAATCAGTGGTGCTCTTAACCATTGAATAGCCCCTCTTTGTGTTTAATTGGCCAACAAGAAGAAAACCAATAAATTCCTGGCCAAAGAGAATGGTTAATAGAACAAGCCAGGTTTGGAGGCTCCTTTTGCCTCTTAAATTTTGTTTGTTTTTTTGTGATAGGATCCAACTGTAGCTCTGGCTGGTCTTTTTTTTTTTTTTTTTTTTTTTGCTGGTCTTGAACTCAAGAGATCTGCATGCTTCTGCCTCTTGAATGCTGGGATTAAAGGTATGTGCCAACAAAGCCTCGCTCTTTTTATATATTTTCAATAGGAATATTTCCCACAGATCTTAACATACTGAGGTTTCCTTTCTTAAACCAGCAGGGGGGTGACAGCTCAGTCCTCAGCTTGTCCTTAGAACTCATCCAGAAGGCAAAGTACCATACACCTATGTAGCATCTAGGGGGAAGGGAGGAGACAGGCTGATCCGGGGACTTGATGGCCAGCCAGTCTAGCTTACATGTTAAGCCCCTGGTTAAGTGAAAGATCATATCTCAAGAACAAACAAAACAGAACAGCAGAGAGCAGAAGACACCCAGAGTTGACCTCCTGGCTTTCACAAGTTCACATATAAACACAGTTTAAAAAAAAAAAAAGTTTTATAAAACAAAAAACAAAGCAAATACAACTGCTAGAGGATTTCACAGAGAAATCCTGGCCCTGGGCACCCATCACCCAGTCACTCACAGGCATGAGCAGATTTTACAAAGCAATATCTCTAGGTAGCAGCTCCAGCCTTTTCGGTGACCATTGTTAACTTACTTTATCCCACTGAGATGCATGATGCTCAAGACAATGGTCGCTTTTATAAAGAAGAGAATAAAGAAATCCACCATCTCTGCCATAAATCTGTGCGCCAAGGATGGAATGACATACTCTCTGCCTGTAGAAAAGGAAAAGGGGCAGGGGAGAGGAACACATAGGTTTAAGAATACAAGTCCGAAAATGCAGGGGCAAAGTAAAGTCAAGGTCCAACTGAACTAAAAAAAAAAAAAAAAAATAGAGCCTTGAGCAGCCAATGGCAATGATGTCATCAAGAGAACATGTTACTAAATTATCTAATGATGAGCGGGACACGGAGACCCACACCAGGAATCCTAGCACTCTGGACCCGGGGGCAGGAGACCGACTGCAAGATTTGCTACAGTAAGACTGTAGTTATTAAACAGAACCAGTTAGATGATATTTAAGATCAATAAGCTTGGGCCCAGATGAAGCTCATTATTCTATTTGTAACGAGCTCCTTTCAGTGCCACTGTCCTAAGGCAGCCAAAGTCCAGGTGATAGCCAGTATTGTAAACTAGCTCCTCCAACAACAGGGGGCTTGCCGTCTCAGTTTAACTTGGGATCTCTCTTTCCGGAGCAGGGAGATCACTGAGAGAACGGTTTGACACGGGAAGGACTAGAGCCAGGTCTAAGGGGAGAACAATTGGCATTGCGTGGCAGGACATTTCTGCCTGGTCTGGGCAAACGATAGCTGATGTCTGTGGAAGTTTCGTATCTCAAAAGCGAGCATTTACTTGCCCAATGGTCACTCCTTCAAGAGATCGCTCTGCCAAGGCATGTTCTGTGGGCTGACACAGAACTAGCATTGCGAGTTCGAGGCTAACCTGGCTACACAGTTAAGGTTAGCCTAGACTACAGAGTGAAATCCTTCCACAAGAAGAGCAGTAGGAGTAGCAGTCATTTAAAAAGGGGCTGTGAGCCACCAGTACCCCTAACACGCGGCCAGTGGAGCTAGACGGATCAAGAGTTCGAGGTCAACAAGGGCTAAACCTCAAAGCGAACAGAACCCTCTCCTCCGCCCCTCTTCCATCCCACTCACACGGCTCACCTCCGTTCTCACCCGCCTGCCGCCCGGCGTCGCTCGCCGTCCGTGCAGGGGTCGCAGAGCCTGCCCTGGTCACGGGGGCCGCCCGGGCCGCCGGCTGCACGTGCGGGGCCCGAGGCGTGAGGCCGGCGACGGCGGTCGCGGTGGCGCCGCCCGTGGGCGCCCCCGGCCCGGGCCCTGCGGCGTTCAGGAAGTAGAAGGGGTTGTAGTAGGCGAGCTGCGGCGGGGGCGGCGGCGGCGGGGGCGGGGTCGGGGACGCCGGGGCGGCCGGCTGCGGGGCTGCGGGCAGCGGGCCGCAGTAGGCGGGGAGGGCGGCCAGGCCGCTGGTCCAAGTCAGGTAGCCGCAGTACGACTGCCACAGCCACTCGTGCACCTGCCGCGAGTACTCGCGCGCGCTCAGGCGGCCGGGCCCGGCCGCCGCCTCGCAGTCCCCGGGCTCCTGCGGCCCCGCCACCTCTGCCGCCGTCTCCCGGCGCTTCCGGAGCTCTCGAGGCGCCTCCGCCTCGGAGCCGGCCGGGCCGATGGTCGCGAGGGCCGGGGGCTGGGGTGCGGCCGCGGCGGGAGAGTCAGGCCCGGAAGGGACTGGCTCGTGGTCCCCGCCGCCGCTGTCGTCCTGGCCCGGCGGACGGCTCCGGGCTTCCTCGGGCCCCTCTGCCATCGTCGCCTAGGAGGCACCCTCCGCGCTGCCTGTCACAGCGCCGTCGCCCTCCCACTGCTGCCCCTCCCCAACCGCCCGGGAGCCACAACTGCGGCGGGCGGGCGCGCGGGCGTCAACAATCCGCCGCCGGAAGCGGAAACCCCTCCCCTCCGGCGCGTCGCGGGGGGAGCCGGGCGGGTGGTGGGACTTCTGCGGAAGTTGGTTCCCGGTTATGCAACGGCGTTTCGGCCGTTCTGTTGTGTGTTTTAATCACAAACTGTGACGTCTTCGTTAAAATAACACATCGCGGCACAACAAAACGTGTTCGATCCTGCGTACGCACAGGACTCTGTGAACGTACCTAATTAGGCTACATCTGTGAGACCTTCCGCATCACTCATTCCTCTTGACAATTCCATCACCAACGCCTTAGAGACGCTCTTGTGGGGTTAGGACGGGGTTGTCCCTCTTGGAACTGCAACCGAATTACCGGAATTTCCAAGCGGGCCCAGACCTCCAAGCACAGCGTCTATTTCTTGCTTAATACCTTAGTCCGTGTATGATTTGGTCTTTTCATCTATACGCAACATCTCACATACTTATATCTTAATACACTTTGCTGTGTTAAATTTATAAGCCTGTTAGGAATAGCAGTGTGACTTTATATCCCCAGGGTCGTACAAGAAATCTACAAGAGCCAAATATGTGAGAATACTCGATGATGATCGTGCTAGCTAATAAAGGCTAGAGGCATTTGAGGGGGGGGGGGCTCAATTGAGAAAATGCCTCCTTCGGACTGTCCTGTAGGCAAGCCTGTAGAGCATTATCTTATTTGGTAATTGATGTGGAAGGGTACTGCCCATTGTGGGTGGTGCCGCCACACCCAGCCTGGTAGTCCTGGGTTGTATAAAAAGACAGGTGTGGAGAGAAGCCAGCAGCACCCTTCTATGGGATTTGCATTAGCTCCAAGCCTCCAAGTTCCTTCCCTGTTTGAGTGCCTGTCCTGTCTTCCCGTAGTAATGAACTACAATGAGGAATTATAAGCCAAATAAACACTTTCCTCCCAAACTTGCTTTTGGTCAAGATGTTTCATCGCAGCAATAGTAACAACTAGAGAAACGATGCTTAGAATCAATCCTGTAGATACTCTGGGAGACAGAAAAGGCTTATCTTTTGCCCTTAAGAAACTAACAATCTGCTTCAAGGGAAAGCTTTTCATGAAACACTTGAAAACCTACTCAAGACCATCACTAGTAGCAGGAAACACAACTCAACATCCATCACCAACTGTGCAATCTGTGGCATTCCCTTCAAAGCCCCGGAGGACTGTACGTAGGTACAACCCAGATTCTTCAACAATGCTGCATAAAAGGAATCTCAAAATGAGTCCGAGTGCATCGAGTTAATTTATAGGAGAAAGAACACAGGCAGTGGGAATCAAGTGTGGCTCCTAGGAGAAGAATGCGCCTACTAGCCTCTGCAGCAGGTAGCAGTGTGAGTGGTTTGGGGAGCTGGCCATTATCTCGTCGGAAGATGTAACCTACAAGGCTGAGAGGAAGATGTAGGGGCTATGTTCATTTTTCTTGTGGGAAGATGCTTTATATACAAGTGGAATTTTAAGATGGTGTATGACTGTACTAGCATACATTTCTTATGTGAGAAAGAAATAGAATTAAGACAAGATCATAGATCATTCCAGGTCTGACAGTGTAGGCACATACTCCCAGCTACCTGAGGTAGGAAATCGCAAGTACAGCCTGGGCAACTTGCAGACAGTCAGTCTCTCTCTCTCTCTCCTCTCTCACACTCACTCACTCACACACACACACACACACACAAAGGGAAAAAAAGGAAAGAAAGAAAGATTGAGGGCATTAGTGATTGACCTTTGCCTATAATGTGTAATACATGTGGCCCTCATTGGCCTTCCAGAGAAAAAGAGGTTAAACTGCTTCATTTTTAACCCTGAGTATAGTTAGTTAGCTAATAATAATAGTTTAATGGGGAGAATTAAATATAATTTTCTGTACACCCTTTCTATATAAGGAAGTCCCCAGACATATAGGTCAACACTCTTCTCTCTGTCAGCAAGCAACACGGCAATTCAGGTAAGGGAGAAGAGGGACTTTCTTCCTTTTATATGTTCCCTTAACTTTGTATTTCTAGTCTGCTCTAAGGCTGTATGCAAGAAGACCACGGGACAAACTCAAGGGCATAATCTGACCACTTGGTTTCAAAATCAATTTGGAGGAAAGATTTCATTGTTGGTGTTTTTATTCCAGAGATCAAATTCAGCATCTTATGACATACTAGGCAAATTATTTGTATTTTCTAACTGTATTTATTATAATAATTTTATTGTTTATGTAGGACACATGTGTGTGGAAGTACACATGCTATGTTGTAACACATGGAGTCTGTTTTTCTCTTTCTACCTTTACATGGGTTTCAGGTTGCCAGGCATGGGCAACAATTGCCTTTACCCACTAAGCCATCTCTGCAAGCCAGCTAAACAAATTATCACTGAGCTGTCTCTTCAGCTACTAAGACATTTTAATGTTTAAATAGATAATCCTTATTTGTTAGAGTGGGGAGGCAGGAATAGCAGGAGTGAAGGGGAAAAGACCTGGAGAGAGGATGAAATATCATGCTTATCAGGGATATGGACTTTGTTTTGAACAGCCGTGGTCCCATAGTATCAGACACAGTACCTTAAGTCAAAAGAAGTGCAGAGGGGCTGGAGAACTAGCTCATCCATTAAAAGAGCTTGCTGCTCAGGCATGAGGGCTGGAGTTTGGATCCAGCAACCGTAAAATAAGCGGGTCTTGTTCTGTACACAGCTGTAATCCATCTCTGAGCGGGTGGAGAAAAGGGATTTGCTGGCTTCCAGCCTAGCCCCCCAAAACACAAGTTCCAGGCTCAGAGAGAGATCCTGCCTCAAAGGACTAAGACAGAGAGTAACAGGGGAGGACATATGATACTCTCTATGTGCGTACACAATTGCTTGCACAAAACATCGGCACATAGACACACATAAGTGAAAGAAAAAACATGTAAATACTTGAAAGAAATGAAATCAAACATAGGTAAAAACTATCCCTCATGAAGACTGAGACAATGAGTCATAAACCAAAATAGGTAAAAGAATAAATATAATACAGTATAACCCAGAAGAACATTTTTTGAATACATACATACATGTATATGTATACACACACACACATACACACATACACACACCACACACACACGCACATATACAGTGAGGTTTCACATATATTATTGGTTGTATGTATATGCAATATACATACAGTATATGGCATTCCTGGGAACACTGAGAATGAAAAATGATATATGTACTCTAGTAAAAGACCTATATTTCCATTTAAAAAGATGATCAGAGGCAAAAAATAGTAAATAATTGTGAGAGAAAGAAAACTGGATTGTCATGTGATTTAAATATTTACTTATATAATAAAATTTCTGGGGGCTGGAGAGATGACTCTGTAGTTAAGAACACTGAGAACCCAGGTTCAATTCTGTAACTTCTGTTCCAGTGGACCTGATGCCCTCTACTGGCCGGCTTGGGCATTGCACACACGAGCGGACAGACATAAATGCAGGCACACACACGTAAAATAAAATAAAATAGGATGTATATGACTATTTTACTTGCATGTATGTCTGTGCACCATATGTATGCTTGGGGTCCACGGAGGTCAGAACAGGGCATCAGATACTCTGGAACGGAGTCAGGAAGGGTACTACGCGAGTGCCGAGAATTGTACCTGGGTTCTCTGTGAGAGCACTGAGCGCTCTGAACTTCAGAGACAGCTCTCTCCAGCCCCATTAGCCATTCTTTAAAAAGCACGAGATCTTTCTGAAGAATTGGTTCTAGCTTGAAACTCAGTAAACTCACTGGCCAGTGGACTATGTTAGAACGGGACTGGTAAGCATTAAATGTTCAGTTACTTGTAGAGATGAAACTAAATGGGTGTCTGTATCCGTCAGGGCATGGAACCACACGATGACTTGAATAGGGGGCAATAAGGGATTCTAATGGGACTGAAGTCAAGGCTAATTGGCTAGCGGAAGATAAGCTCTCTGTATGCAAGAGCCTTCCAGCTTAAAGAAAACCTGGACAAAAGGCCTCATCATGAAGCTGCCATCTCTCTCCTGCTGCTTGGGCTCCTGAATCAGGCCCCCATCACGGACATCAATCAGCCTTATTAAAGCTCTGAAATGGAGTAATGACTTGTTTCCTTGATGTTCAGTCTTTTGATTTTTCTTTTCCTTTAAAGTTAAAACCTGGAAGGACAGCTGTGAGTGTTAGGAACCAAACTCTTATATTTTGGGTTGTAAGCCTAGCCTTTAGCGGCTGAGCCATTCCTCTGGGCCTTACTATTATTTTCAGTAGGGTCTTGTTAGTTTTCTAACTCCTTGCGGCCCCCTGCCTCACCCTCCAGAGTTCTGGGACTACAAGCATGTACTACCACAACTAAGAAAATAGCTATTTTTTTTTTTTAAATCCAGATTTAAATTCATGCTTTGATAGGACTTCAGAGAACATTCTAGATATTTGGGGAGCCAAACATCTATTCTTTGGTTATGAGACTTGTTAGTTTGTAGTAAGAAGGCCACTTGTTTGTTTTTTGGATGCCCAGACTCCCTAAATAATCACACAAAACTGTATTAATTAAATCACTGCTTGGCCCATTAGCTTGAGCTTCTAATTTTTTTTTTTTTTTAGATTTTTATCAAGACAGGGTTTATCTGTAGCTTTGGAGCCTGCCCTGGAACTAGCTCTTGTAGAACAGGTTGGCCTTGAACTCACAAAGATCCACGTGCCTCTGCCTCCCCAAGTGCTGGGATTAAAGGCTTGAACCACTACCACCTGGCTAGCTCGAGTTTCTTACTGGATAGCTTTTACATCTTAATTTAACCCATCTCCATTAATCTGTGCATCACCACAAGGTGATCACCTACCAGCAAAGTTTTAGCACATCTGTCTCTGGCGGCTCCACGGCTTCTCTTTGACTCTGTCCTTCTTTGTCCCAACATTCGGTTTAATCTTCCCCACTTAGCTTTGTTCTATCCTATCAGGCCAAGCCAGTTTCTTTATTAACCAATGGTATTCACAGCA